CCGCCGGCCCAGGTTGCTGAGGAAGAAAGGGCCCTTTCTCTGCCCCACTTTAAAGGCGGCTCCCGCAGCTCCTCCTCCGAGGAGGGTGGGCACCTGCATGAGGGAGGCACTTGGGCAGTGAGGGGAGCCGCTGCTGAGGCCAGGGCTGAGAGGATGGCCTTGGGGAAGGCGATTGCTTGGGATCACCATGTGCCCGGGGTCCCAAACACCTGGGGTGGTCCATGCACCTTAGGGGCGCTGCCATAGGGTCCCCTGTGCCCTGGGGGACTGAGCACCTTAGAGTGCCCACATGTCCTGAGTCATGGGGGGCTGCATATCTTGAGAGGCCCCCTATGCCCTGCAGGCCTCTGTGTCCCATGGGGCTCAATGTGCCCCATGGGACTCCGTTTTGGGGGGTCCCATCTGCCGTGGGGATCATCCACACACCCTGAGCTATCCGTGCTCCTCGGGGACCCCTGTAGGACCCTCTGCACTGCCCAGTCCAAGCTGTCCCACGCATTGGGACTGGCAGGGGTCCCATTCCCATGGCCCCAGGGAAGATGTACAATGGGGCAGGCATGGGATGCGATAGGAATCGTCAAAGGCACGATTAAATGGGATGCTGCAGAGCCCGGCGCCGGAGGGATCCCAGGCAGGCGGGGTGAGGACAGGACCCATCTGACCATCATGTGCCTTCGGTCCGTGTTGATGCCTGGAGCCGCGCGGCTGCCAAAGAGCCATTCACAGCTCCACCAGAAAGCCGATCCCACGGTTATCCACTTCCGTTGGGAAGCCCTTCCCTCTGGCACGGATGGGAATGGGGTCCCAGGCTGCCCCCATGCCAAATTACAGGGATGGGATCCCTTGGGATTTGGATATACTAGTGGGGAATGGAGCCAGGGCAGGCTGGCTTGAGACTCGGGTCTGCACACCCGGCCAACCCAGCTACAGCCCCCCAGGGAGGCAATACAGCAGAAACAGGGATTTACTTCATGTATTCACCATTACTCTGCAAAAAAAGGGGAAAAAAGTTTGAAAAAAGCTTTACAGGAACAAGCAGGAGTTAAGGTGTGACTGTGGCTTACCTCGATCCTGTCTCTAGAAGGTGAAGGTGAGGGAATAAATGATAGACAAACAAAGAGGGGGGGAAAGATTTGTTCTCTGAACATAATTGAAAGGCTGAAAAAGCTACTCCATGCACAATTCTACTGGCACAGGGCATTCTGAGACCTTTGGAAGGTTCAGTGTAGTGAGGGTACAGAGTATTTTGTGGAGGGAGGGAAGCTCCAGGCTATGGGAAGCACAAAGGAGCTGAAGAAGAGGGCAGCAAAACCCCTCTGGGAATTAAGGACAAGAGCCAGAAGAACAGGGAGGGGAATAGGATGGAAATTGTGTGTAGAGGAGGCCAGAAGGGGACTAAGCTGCCATGGGGACAAGGGACAGCTGCTGTTGATTAGCTCGGACATGCTCAGACAGCCCTTGTCCCCTGTTAAGAGAGAGGCCCTGGCCAGGGCCCATCGCTGCAGATTCAGCCCCGCTCCCCAGATGGAGACCGTGCCATGGATGCAGCCCCCTCCTCAGAACAGCCCATTCCCACAGCCAGTCCATTGGTGTGACTTTATTGGAGTGCGACACAAATCGGGGGTGATGCCACAGGCTGTGGGGACAGACAGCCCGGGCTCAGTCCCAGTCGCCGTCACCCTCGGGATTGTCGTCACGGGGGGGCTCCTGGAACTGGATGTTGGCCAGCATGTCCCGCATGGCCGCCATCAGCCTGTTCACCCCCTGGTTGAGGTCCTGCGCTGCCCCGGCCTCGTCGTCCCCGTCGTGCCGGATGTCCCCCTACGAGAGAGCAGCACGGTGGTGGCAGGGACAGGGACAACACTGGTGCCAAAGCAGCAGCAGGCTGTTGCCAGCAGTGGCTCCTGGAGCAGGAGCACCATGGGGGAATGGTGCACCCAAATCCCAACGTGTGCTCACCTGCAAGTTAAAATTTGGCAACAGCGAGCGGAAGAAGAGGGATAAAGTGCTTTCGTTGGAGGGATGGCTTGTCCTGGAAGACACAAGTGGTACCATGGTGAAGGTACAGCTCAGTTTGTGACTCCTCAGTGGGATGTGGCAGTGCTGGGAGAACCATGGTGCTGCTGGAACCAGCCCTGAGGGAGGGAACTGAGGGTTCCAATGGGATTCTGAATTCAGGCAACTCTGAGCAGCAAGTGTGCAAACCAGTCACTATGAGCATGACCAAGGCCAGGTTGGAAGGGGCTTGGAGCAACCTGGGATAGCGGAAGGTGTCCCTGCCCATAGCGGTGGAATGAGATAAGCTTTAAGGTCCTTCCAACCCAAACCATTCTAGGATTCCATGATTCTACCAGCTCTGTTCTGAGGGCTGGTGTTGAACACACGTATGGCATCACCCCAACACCAAGACTGGCTGTAACTTAGATTTTCATTTACCCCAAACCCTCCCACAGTCAGCCGTGGCCTGGGTTTTCCCTGGCTTTTGCCCTATGGCTGGGAATGGCCAGTGGTGACCACTACGGGAAGCAGCAGGACCAGTCCAGCCTGCAGCTCTGCCTGCCTGGAGCAGCACAGCTCTTGCTGTGCCATGGAGGAGGATGTCAGCACCCACGGACAGCCTGGGAACACGGCCGGCTGTGCCAGCACAGGCACCAGCGGACGAGGTGGTACCTTTCCGGTCGGGTGTAGGAAACAATGGAATCCAGAGGAGGCAGGGGGTCAAACCCCATCACAGGCTGGGAGGTCACCTCCTGCAGGGGGAGGAGAAAGAAGGGATGAAGGAGAAAAGAAGGGATGAAGGCTGTGCATCCAGCAGCAGCAAACACAAGTGCCCACAGAAGCCGTGAGTGACAGGGGTCAGGACGGGCCCAGCAGGGACACACGTGCCACCATACCACGTGCAGTCACAGCCCCTGTGTCCCACCAGGCCCCTCACCAGAGGCAGGGCTGCTGTGGCCTCCTTCATCTCCGAGAGGATGATGTGCCGGTAGATGTTCCTGGGAGCGCTCTGGTACCGGATCTTCCTCCTGAGGCGGGGAGGGGACACAGCAGTGAGCCCTGAGCAGGCACATTCCCATTTCTGCTGCTCCAGGTGCAGTGTCAGCAGCTTCCCTGGCTCCGGGGGACAAGGCCATATTGGATGGAGCTGGCTTAGAGCGAGCCAAAGGGGGTGGCAGCTGCTGAGCTCTGGAGAGAGTGGAGAGCTCAGGAATGAGCAGATTGACCTTGGTTTAGGACACCTGATGGCTCTCTCCTGTTTCTCAGCACTGGGAAGTGTTTCTAAGCTCTCACCTCCCTGTGTGGCCATCCCTGCCCTTCCAGGCCACCCCTCCACCCTCTCCAGGATGTTTCCGGGGTACAGGTGGCAGCCAAGCCTGGGGAAGGCAGTGCAGGATATGCAATGCAGGTTCAGCCACTGCCTTCCTGGCCCCATGCTGTGACCTCTGGCATCAGACCAGCAGCTGTGGGGCTCTGAGCCCTGTCCCAGACACTGGAACTGCTGCTGCCTAGGACAGACCCTCTGTCCCACTCTGTCCCCTGGCACAGGAACCCTGCCCTCCACCCTCTGTGCTCACTTGTGCTCGGCCTCCTGCACCAGCGTGTCCTGGGCCTCCACCATGTGCAGAACCTCGTGGACATGGGGCTCCAGCCAGGCCATGACTGCTGGGTCCTTCCACAGGGCGTGTGTCCTGCCCACGTACAGGGATGTCAGCTGGTTCAGGGCGGGCGACTGGCTGTGGGAGATGGCTGTTACTCACGGCACCCTCCTCCTCCTCCTCCTGCTCCTCGTGGGACGCTGGGGGCTCAGCTCTGGCCTTTGGCGTGGGAACCCGAGAGGACACGCAGGCTCCTGCCTGGATATTGCCATCCACCTTCACCAGAACTTCTGCCTCCATCTATTTTTAGGCTAAGCAGAGCCATGAAATGAGGGGACACTGCCCTGGCCTGAGGGAGAGCCTTCGCACGCTGAGAAGAACACGTGTCAAGGGAACGCAGACTGGCTGGAGACAGCCTGCCCTGGGAGGACACACACATCGCTCCCCTTCCCTGCACACACCAACAGGCTCTGGGGTGAACTTCTGACCTGTCCACCTGGAGGTGAGGTGGGTCTATCAGCCTGATCCACAGGCCATTATGGAAAGCCATTATCAAAAGGATTATCAAATGAGGCATTATCAAATGAGCCTACTCAGGGAAGCCAAACGAGCTCCTCCATTAGCTGTCTGAGCACGCAAGATCCCCGCCGCCGGCAAAATCGATCCCTTCCCTTTGCTGAGAACATCTCCAGGCCTTACCTGATCTGGGCATTCAGCCCGAAGAAGGGGTGGGAGGCGACCCTGGCGTCGGGCTGCACGCTGCAGTGATCCAACAGCGGCATCAGAACTGCAAGACAAAGGCAGAGAACTCGTCTGGAGCTGCTGGTGAGGGGCAGTGTGGGGTGGGGTGGGGTCACTCCCCTCCTCAGGGCCAGAACCCCCAGGGCACCAACACGGACACAAGGAGGGGGTGAGCACACTGCTGGTCCCTGTGCTCACACAGGCATTATCCCAGTCACCCCAACAAGCAGCCTAAAAAATGTTTCCAGCCCCCACAAACTGCATCTCTGTCGGAGAGCTGGTTCTTCCTGCTGCACACACCCTCCCCTGGGCCTGAGGGCTGTGTGCTCCTTTCATGGACAGCAGCACCCACAGGATGAAAGGGAGAGTGATGGGCACCCATGGGGAGAGCACATCCAAAACAGAGCTGTGCCTCGGAGGGAGAGCCAAGGAAACCCGGCCTGTCCTTGCTCTGGGCAGCCTCCAGGAGGTGAGACATCTCCCTGCTCTGAGACTCCAGCTCTCATCCTCCCCCAGCCTGCTCACCCCTGACCATTGCTGGTGGAGGAGCATTGGCTGCTATGGGGAGGGAGGGCAGAATCATGGAATCACAGAATTGTAAGGCTGGAGAAGCCTCTAGGACCATTGAGTCCAACCATTCCTGCAGCACTGCCAAGGCCACCCCTAACCTGCATCCTCACGGCTTTTAAATCCCTCCAGGGTTGGGGACTCCACCACTGCCCTGGGCAGACTGGGCCAGGGATGGACAACACTTCTGGGGAAGGAATTACTCCCAATATTGAACTTCGAGGCCATTTCCTCTTTTCCTGTCCCTGTTCCCTGGGAGCAGAGCCTGACCCCACCGTGGCTGCACACTCCTGTCAGGGAGTTGTGAAGTCAGTTCTGAGCCAGAAGGTCTCCCCTGAGCCTCCTTTTCTCCAGGCTGAGGCCCCAGCTGCCTCAGCTGCTCCAGGCCCTTCCCCAGCTCTGTTCCCTTCCCTGGACATGCTCTAGCCCCTCAGTGTCTGTGCTGGGGTGAGGAGCCCAGAGCTGCACTCGCCCAGCCACACTGGGCACAGGCACTGCCGTTCTGCCCGACCGCTTCCGCTCTGACTCAGGGCTCCCTCCTCAAAGGCCCTGGGCAAATTCCTGCCTCTGCATCCGCCTGCCGGGAATGCAGTCCCGGCTCTCCCAGAGGACAGTGACAAAGCCCTGGAGGATGACCTCACCGGTGGGGACAGACTCACCGCTTGGGAACATGATGAGCGCGAGCTGGATGAGCCGGGCCGCTCGCTCCCGGGCCTGGCCCCGCTCCAGCTCCGGGCGCTCTTCCTGCTGGCTCAGGAAGAAATAGGCCAGTGGCACCGAGAAGGCGAAATTGGGCAGCTGGGACAGATTCCGGTGACTCTGCAGGATCAGAGCGAGCGTTACCGAGAAATGATGCTGTGCAGCAGAGCTGGGCTGTGCGGGGTCGGGGCTCTGCCTGCTGGGGTTAAGTGAGTTCCCAGCCCCTGGCTCAGTGCCCCCACAGCTGAGTGAGCAATTTTGAGTTCTTACAGCTATCTGCAGGGCCCAAGGATTACAGGAACCAACAGCCCGGCCTGCACAGATCATTCCAATGCTGCTGGATGTCAGCTGGGCTGTGAGATCCCTTCAAAGGGCTGACCTGGTGGGGAGCACCCCAGGCACCCATCCCCTCACCTGCTGGCCACTCACCTCCCACTCCTGGAAGAGGCGGGTCAGGAAGGTGTATTCCCTGGCCCGGAGGGACAGGAAGTCGATCAGCAGCAGCACACAGAGCGGGTCATTCTCAGGATCAAGGCTTGGGAGCAGGGGGAGAGAACAAACCCAGTGTCACAACAGCTGAGAGAGCTGCCCTGATTTCTGAGTCCAACAGCCTTTCCCAGTGACATCCAGTGACTCAGCAAGTGAGGGAACAGGAACGCGGTCGCTCCTGCATGGCCAGCAGGATGACAGTGTGGTGCTCTGTGTCCCTGCAGAGGGGACAGTCCCCTGCCACCACCCAGGAGAAGGATCAGTGGCCACAAACTGAGTGGGCTGAAGCCACTGTCCCACTTTGCTCTGCTGAGCCTCCAAGCTCAGCCACAGTTTGGCAGTCACAGGCCGCCCAGGACCCCTCGTCACCCATCACCTCTCCAAGGGCACCAGCACACCCCCAGCACAGACTGTGCAGCTCTAAGGGGTGGGAATGAGCCCACACCAAGCCCAGGAGCAGCAGGACCCCTCTGGGGTGACTGTGCCCCCAAACCCAGACACTCTACCCTTGGTGGAGGCACCTACCTCAGGATGAGCTTGCAGAACTCCAGGGCTGTGCGGGGACAGCCCCTCTTCTCCAGGAACATCAGGTGCTTGAAGAGAGCCAGGAAGAAAGCCCTGCATGGGGAACAGCAGCAGGACTTAGAGAAGCATTTTGTTTCACTCAAAAAAGGGAACACAGTCATCGAGAGCTCCTCACCTCCAAGCATCACACCTTGGTGAGGCATGGGATGCCACAGACACCCCCCAGCCCCATGCTCCCAGCTCTTGTTTTTGTTCCCTTTTTGTGCACGACCAGGGACAGAAAACTCACGGGCTGCTCTGGAGACTGGGATCAAGTAAATCCCCCAAATCCACATCCCACCTTGTCCCAGTGGCGTGGGGACGGTGACACAGAGCATGGAGGCCCAACACCTGAACTGGTGATACAGGTCACTGATGGCACAAAGCGTGTCAGCCATAGGGACTGAAATGTGAGCACCCTCCAGGTACAGCAGTTTGGGAGAGATGGCTTGGGTCAGCTGACTGGAAAATTCCCAGAATAAAGTCACCTTTCCCAGCAGCTGCAGAGCTGGAGTTACATAAAGACCCAAGCTGGGAGGAGTGTGAGTGCTGGGGGTGATGGCTGGAAACACACAGCAAGGGTTTTTGTACCGTTTCAGGCTAAGGGGTACTAATGGCATGAGAAGGATATGACAGGGAGGGACAGCTCCTGCTGCAGGAAGGTATCCCTTGGGAAAAGGGATGCTTTGTGCAGAAGCCTCCATTCACAAGCTGCCTGTGCTCCAGCACCATCCCAGGAGCCCCCCACAGAACAGGATGCTCAGGGGACTCCCTGGACGAGCAGCAGTGGTGAGTGTGGGTGGCTGTGGCCAAAAGGGGTCCAGGAGCTCCAGCTGAGCCTCCCTGCTCCCCAGCCCTGCTCACCTGTTCTCTGGCCGCCGGTAGTCCAGCCTGCAGGTCCCACTGGTGAGGCTGAACACGGGGTGGAAGGCGCATTCCAGGCTGTACAGGGCCCGCTCTGGGGACAGCAAGGTCCATGTCAAGGACAGGGACACCAGCCCAGCACAGCACTGCCCAGCACTCAGTTTAGCCCAAAAAACAAGGAAACCAGCTCATTCCCAGCCCAGTAAGGCACAAAGTTACTTCACACAATGTGGTGGCAACAGGTACCAGGGCAGTGAGCACTTCCATGTAATTCACACTCTGGGTGGGAAAAGGAACCATTCTGCTTGGTCCAGGAAGAGCCAAGCTCCTGCCCCACACTGCCCCTGCCAGGGGAGGATTTCACACCAACACATCTGCTCCTCACCTCACTCTTACCTATGAGATCCCGGGCCATCTCCTGGTCCTCCTGCATCCGGCACACGTCGCTGAGCTGCAGGAGGGAGTCCACGTGGTAGGGGTTCATCTGGAGCAGCAGCTGCACAGAGCATTGCAAAGATTCTGTGTCATTACCAGTGTCTCACTCACCTTCCAGCTCTGTGACACACAATGCCAAGATTAATCCCACCCTGCCAGATCCATCCCCAAGCTGGAAGGGCACAGGGAGCTCTTCCCCAGCATGTGCAGGATGGGAGCCCCCAACAGCAGCCTCCCCTGGGCAGCTCCCTCCCAGCTTTTCCAGCAGAGGCCATGCCACGCCTTTGTTCAGCTTTACTGCTCTCCTCCAGATCTCTCCCAGCTCCTCCATTTCCTTGGAAAGGAGAGAACGAGATGCAGGCACTGTTACAGTTTGGGGTTTTTTTTATCTATCCCTCAACAGTTCTGAACATTTGATCAGGCTTTTGCATCATCTGGACATTTGGACACATCTATTACAAATCCAGGAATCAGCAATGGTAATGGATAATAATAACTAAATATTTACTTCCAGGCTTCAGAAAAGAAGTTAACTTAAAAATCTTCTCTAATACACTAATTATACTAATACACTAATTATATTAACTGTACACTAATTATATTATAAATAGGCTACTTTTCTCAAGTACCTAAAACCTCAGTTCAGTAAAATACTGAAGCTACTACAAATCTTCTCACACTTTGGGGATTTTTTTTTTTTTCTAAAACTGAAAAAACAAAGCTTCCAAAACTCTAGCAGTTTCCATCTGCAGGGTGGAGACCACCTACAGCACAAAGACTGGATATTCCAGGGTGTCCCAGCCCAGCCTGGAGCCGCTTGCCTGATGATTAACCTCTTCCTTAAGGGATAAAACTCTTAAGTTGCTTTCTAGTCCGCTTTTTGGGGGGGGACATGGAGCATTCAGGGTCACTGTGATGGGAAAAAGCCAAGGAAAGGTCATTGAGACCCTTTTAACCTGCCAGCAAGGACAGAAAAAGCACTCACTGAACAAGAGGCTCCCCAAAAGCAATGTTTTATGTACTGAAACCACAGCAACAAGGCAAAGCTGGGCTCTAGCTGTGCCAGGACTGCGGTGACCATGGACAAACCATCTGGAATTGCCAAATCCATCTGTTACATCTTACCCTTGATGGAAAAGGGGAAGACTTCAAGCCGTATGAATGTCTTCAAATTTAGCCAGACCCCCTAAGAAGGTCAGAGCATCCAGATTAAAATACCATGGAAAGCCTGTCCTGTGTGGGGGACTGAGCTTGAGCTGTCCTTGGGACACTCACTGCTGCACAGGAATTACCTTGGCTCACTTAATCCAAATCCCTCAATCCAGGCAGAACTGCTGAGCTGGAGAGAGCCCCGCAGCCCTGAGCTGGGGATGGGAAAGCAGAAGGAAGTAAACTTTATTTAGCAGACAATGGGCTCTTTAAAGAACATCTCCAAGGCATGGATCCCAGCTCATGTGGCCAGACCTTTCAGAGAAACATCCCTCAGTTATGGTTTAGTTGGGTGCAGAGCAATTTTGCTGTTGCTTATCACTCCAAACTATAAATGTTACCATACAGCTTAATGAGCTCGGACACGCATGAAGGACTCCTAACACAAAAGCCTGTTTTGCTGAAATACCAAGAAAAGACACATTTTTCATTCTTGCAGGAGTTTATAAATAGAACAGCTGTTAGTTTGGATTCCCAGTTCACGATGGGTTTATACAATATTCCTCCTTTCCCGGCTAAGAGCTGAGACAAGGGAGCTTTGTTCCCACCCTTCCAGCCAAACGGACAGTTCCTGTGGGTTCCTCTCTCTGAAGGTGACCTGGCACGTGCTTGGCAGAGCCACCAAGGCTCGGCCACCAGACCTCCTCTGCACCAAGGAGGTCACTGATTAACAAGGTGACAGCACAACTCAGCGCTGCCTCACCCCACACAGGGCTCTACTGTCCAAAGAGATCCTAACAGTCCAAATGAGACTGGAAATAAATAATCCGAGGCTCTGCAGAGGGATCTGGACAGGATGGATCAGGGGGATGAGGCCAATGGGATGAAAGTCAACATGGTGACATGCTGGGTCCTGCTTGTGGGTCATACCAACCCCATGAACGCTACAGGCTGGGGGAAAAATGGCTGGAAAAGAACCTGGGGGTGCAGGAGACAGTGGATGGACAGGAGCCCAGGTGGGCAGGAAGGTCACTGCCACATGGCCTGTGTCAGCAATGGTGTGGCCACAGGAGTGACCAGGACAGTGCTCATCCCCTGTGCTGGCATTGCTGCAGCACTTCCAATCCTGGGGTCAGTTCTGGGCCCCTCACCCCAACACAAGCACCAAGGGGCTGGAGCACATCCAGGGAAAGGCAACGGAGCTGGAAAAGGGGCTGGAGCATCAGAAACAGCTGAGGGAGCTGTGGGGGGCTCAGCCTGGAGCAAAGGAGGCTCAGGGGGAACCTTCTGGCTCTGCACAATTCCCTAACAGGAGGGGGAAGCCAGGGAGGGGTCAGGCTCTGCTCCCAGGAACAGGGACAGGACAAGAGGAAATGGCTTCAAGCTGTGGCAGAGGAGATTCACGTTGAATATTTGGGACAATTCCTCCCCCAGAAGTGTTGCCCAGCCCTGGCCTCAGTCTGCCCAGAGCAGGGGTGAATTCCCCATCCTTGGAAGGATTTAAAAGCCATGTAGATGTGACACCTGGGGACATGGGTTAGGAGTGGCCTTGGCAGTGCTGGGGGAACAGCTGGCTTAGAGGCTTTTCTAACCCAAACGATTCCACTGGAATGCACCAGCCCAACCTCCCAGGGAAAGGGGCTGCAGGAACACAGGAGGGAACACCACGACCAACCCAACGTACCACGATGTTGTTGGGGTCCATGGACTCCACAGCGTCCAGGAACTTGAACTGGACCTGCTGGTACTCACGGTGGTGCTCGAAGGTGAAGTGCTGCACGCCCCTCCGGGTGTCCAGCAGCTGCATGGTGATACCTGCAGGGTGCAGGGGAGACCTGGGTACCCCAAAACAACCTCCTCTGCTCTCTCACAGTGAGCATCAAAAGCTCACTCCCATCACTGGCTCCAGAGACACACGTGCTTTTGGAAACTCACAGAGAATTTCACTCTTTTTCTCCACCCCCTCTCATGAGTCCAAATCCCAAACCCACCAAAAAAACCCAGGCTGCTCGTTCTGCCCAGGGATCCTTCTCATTATCCAGCAGTTCTGCTGCTAAGATGGGAAGCACCCATGCCCTGCAACCTCCAAAAGAGGGGAAAACAAACCCAAATCATAAGGCACAGCTCCAGAGCTCTCTGTTGAGGCAGGAGGTGTATTTCTACCAGCTGAGGAGCACTTCTCCCTTAGATTCCATGGCCTGAGCAGCATCCATGTCACATTGGCCAAGGGTTAAGAGGGCAGGAGGCAACCCCAAAAGCCTCACCTGTCTTGCTGTAGCGTGGCCAGGTGTTTTTGGGAGCTGTCAGCCACATGCTGCGGACGTACTGCCGCTGCCTTTGCCTTGGCCTGGGGAGGGGAACACACAGGTCACAACTCCTCAGCACTGACAGGATGAAACCATGTTAAAGGGAAAAATGTGATCCAATTTCTTCCCCACAGAGAGCTACACAAAGCTGTGCCCGGAGCTCTACGTTTGCCTTCAGGACACAACATACCTGTGCTCAGGCTTTGCCTTATGTGCACCATCTAGGCCAGCCAGTGCCTCCAGCATCTCCTCTTGTAGAGCTTCTCTCCCTGTTTTTATCCCTGCCAAACTCTCAGCTGCCTCTGTGCTTCAAACAGCTTCCCAGGTGCAATCAGGAGAGCCCCACATCCCTCTGACTCATCCCTCTTCCCAGCAGGGCCTTCAAATGGCAACTGATTAGTTTAAGCTGTACTCAAAAATGCACAATTTATTGTTTCAGGAGCAATTCAGGATCAAAGCTACTTTTAGGGAGTCATGTCTCCCCAGAAAGGGATCACTGACTATCCTGAGTTGGAAAAGACCCACACAGATTATTAAATCCAACTCCTGGCCATGCACAGGACAATCCCAAGCGACTGCAGTTTCTTCCTCAAGTACCAAATGCTCTTCCACACACTTTCCCTCCTTCCACCTGCACTGCTCCAAGCTCAGACCATTCATGGTTTTCCAACTGTGTGACAGCACAGTGCAGTGGATAAATGCAGAGACATCACACCCAGGGAGCAACAGGTTCCCTGGGCACCTGGAAGCAAGTGGATGAGACACTCTGAAAGTATTCAGGGTTCACCTTCTGTCCAGAGGCTCTGGGATGGCAACAAGGGATGAATGGTGGAGAAACAAACAAAACCTGTGTCTGCACTCTGTGAACTTGAATGAAAGGACCTTCGAGGGTGGTTTGGAAATAAATGAGAGGGGAAAGGAGCAAAAGAAAAAGCAAATGCCAGTAAAAGCCTGGAGAAGTCTTTCCCCACCTTGTTCATATTGCAGAAAATATTCCTCTGTCCCAATAAGCAGCTACTAAATGAGTAACACACCCTGAGCCTGGGATTACCTGGGTGTGGCACTGGGGACTCCATAAACCCTGCCAAGGGCAGGACAGACACACTTCCTCGGATTTGGAAAGGGTTTAATATCGAATTCTGGACTAACCTCTGGTCCCCGAGCACAGCACGAGCCCCAAAGTATCTCTTCAACTCATTCTCTGGATTCAAGTTTCTGAGAAGGTAGAAAGAAGAAAGAAAAGCTCCATTAATTAAACAGTGGCGCACTCAAGTATCTCCATCAACACCCAGCTGCCCAAAGTGCCTCTGGAAAACCCCCAAACTGTCACACACTCCCCACTGATCAGACACAGCATGGAGAAAGGAGACTGAAACTGCCAGAACTGAAGGGAAAGCCCTGCTCCATCAGACAGGCTTTCTTCCTGCTCTGCTCCAGAGCTGGGGAATACTGCTGCTGCCCTCTCCAGGGCAGCTGGAGCCTTAGCTGGGATGTTCCCGGGAGAAGCCTGGGCTCCAGAGCACAAGTGAATCCCATGTCAAGCTTTACACACCAGGGCTACTGACACCTCTGCAGAGGTTCTCCCACCAATGATCTGAGGCTAGAAGGTCCCTCTGGAGACTGGGTTCTGCCACCACTGCAAGCAGGCCTGGCAGCAGAGAATCCCCATCAGAACCAAACACAGCTTCCAGAGGAGCAGATAGGAGCAGGGATGTGCACAACCATCCCAACCCAGAGCAGGGATGTGCACAACCATCCCAACCAGAGCAGGGATGTGCACAACCATCCCAACCAGAGCAGGGATGTGCACAACCATCCCAACCCAGAGCAGGGATGTGCACAACCATCTCAGCCTGGAGCAGGGATGTGCACAACCATCCCAGCCCAGAGCAGGGATGTGCACAACCATTCCAACCCAGAGCAGGGATGTGCACAACCATTCCCACCCTTTCAGTCAAGGTGCTGAGTTCCTGGCCGGATCACACTGGGAAGCTCCCAGCTGCCTCCTCAGGGAGCAGATATCTGTCACACCAAGGCCAGAGCCAGCTGGGAGCCAGCAGTACCTGTGCTCCACATAGAGCAGAGGCCGGGTGTCGGCGGTGATCCCACCCTGGCTCTGTGGGGCCAGCCTGGGGTCCTCGATCCTCTCCAAAAGGCTGTCGATGTCCTCCAGGTCGTTGTCTTCCTTAAGAAAGGCAAAGCCAAGGCATTTACTACAGGCTGAGTCACAGCAGCCTGCAGGCCACCCAGCACAGATCACACCCAGCTGCCTGCAGCTCATCCCGATCCCTGGGTGGGGGGCTGTGGCTCTGCAGAGAATCCTGGAATGCTTTAGGTTGGAAGGGACCTCAAAGCCCATCAAGTTCCACCCCTGCCATGGGCAGGGACACCTTCCACTATCCCAGGATGCTCCAAGCCCTGTCCAGCCTGACCTTGGACACTTCCAGGGATGGAGCAGCCACAGCTTCTCTGGGCAGCCTGTGCCAGGGTGTCACCACCCTCCTCACAGGGAAGAATTTCCTCCCAATATCCCATCCAACCCTGCCCTCTGATAGTGGGAAGACATTTCCACTTGGCCTGATACTCCACTCTTTGTCCAAAGATGTTTTAAATATTTAACCCTCTACTTTCCACAGAAATACCAAGTTACTGCTGTGAGCCTCATGACAAGGTCTCAAACACTCACATGACTTAAATCCAACTCTCCCATTCCCCATTTCCAGCCACCCCAGGAATCCATCCAGCTGCTCACATCCAACAGTTATATAACACTTTAACCCTGATTTCCCTCAACAAACAAGTGACACATTTCTTATGTGCCTGTTTCACATCCTCCTCATGATGTCCATGGGTGGAACACAGAATTCCATTCAGGACACCCAAGCAGCACTGCCAGCCTGCCTTCTCAAGCTAAATTTAGCCCCTGTGAGTGGAGTGTACACAGGAAAGGGATAATGTGCATGGAACTGCTGGAACAGAGATTGCATTATCCCTCGTTGGCAAACCAATCTGCCTGGGTCTGGGTGTCCCCCCAGCCTCCAGCTGGCACATGTCCCCCTGCTGCTCAATATTCTTGGATTGGGAAAGGAAACAGGCTCTCCAAGAGGGTTTTCCACCTCAGAAACTCACTCCTGATCGGAATTCCCAGGGAGGAGGTGGCCAGCTGGGCGCTGGCACTGCTGTCACGGCTTAGCCACTCCAGAACCCGGTGGTTCAGCATGCTGAACACTGAATCTCCCTGGAGTGAAGAAGGAGGTTGGACTCCATCATCTGGGAGGTCTTTTCCAACCTCAAGGATTCTGTAACTCTGTGGACAGTTCAGACTCAAACCTCACCAGCAAACCAGCTCCCACCTGAACCTCACTCCTATTGAATTAAGAAGATTAATGATTTTAATCCAACTGCTACTTCCACCTCTGGGGTCCCCAGCACTGGAAGGATGTGGGGCTGCTGGAATGAGTCCAGAGAAGCCCATGTAGATGCTCCAAGGGCTGGAGCCCCTCTGCTCTGGAGACACCTTAGAGCATCTTTCAGTGCCTAAAAAGGCTCCAAGAGAACTGGAGAGAGACTTTGGACAGGGGATAAAGGGACAGGACAGGTTGGACAGGGCTTGTAGCAACCTGGTCTGATGGAAGGCCTCCCTGCCCATGGCAGGGGATGGAATGAGATGAGCTTTAAGGTCCCTTCCAATTGAAACCATTCCAGGATTCCACAATTCTAAAAAGGCTTCTTTAAATTTTGAAATGGCTTTTTTCCTAGAATCTCTCCTACAGACACCTCAGAATTCCCACTTTGCCAACCCCACTGCAGGAATCAGCCTGGTCCTTGACTCAGAACACACACACATACCACAGTCTCTCCTGCTGAATTTTTCTTGGTTTTCCTTTTCTTTTTTTTCTTCCGTGGCTTGTTACTCGTTGCCAGCTGCAAAGACAAAGGGAAGAGCTGTCAGCATTACCATGAACTGCAGAGGTGCCAGCTCCATGGGAAGGAGAGCATTTCCCACAGGGATCAGCACACTGAGGGTCCTTAAATGAAACCAAAATTCACCCTTTACTGTTTGTTAGTGGGTGGAAATGAAGACACAAGGAGAAAATAGAGGAAAGTACCAAAGATTCACAAAGGGTTAAACCTCAGCTGACTTTCACATCAATGTCTAAGGCTACAAAATCAGGAGAGAGACAAGTTTAGCTGTGCCAGGTGCGGAGGAAATGTTTCAGCATCTTTCAGTGCCCAGGATAAGCTGCATTTCTGCTTTCCCAGCGAGTGGGACAGTTCCCAATTTCACTCCCATTTCCACAGAAACCAACACCTGACAAAGGCCCCAGCACCAGAGTGCCTCTCCCCTGCAACTGCTTCAGCTCAGGATGCTGGGGGATTGTAGACCTGATTTTCTGAGTCTGAGAGAGTTTTCAGCCTGTCAGTAACTGATCTGTTCCCAAGGGAAAGTCTCTTGAGAACATTTCTCTTGCAAGGACTGTGTTTTGTAAATAGATAGTAGTTCTCAGAACAATATTGTACAGCTGTGTTAAGTGTTTTCTCTTGCCCCATCAATGAGATGAGAGAGGTGTTGTTCCCTTTAGCAATCATGTTAAACCTGTATTGGAACACCGTATAAAAGGAGCTGAAAAAACCCAAAATAAAACCCTTCTCTTCTGATAATCATACCTCTGCCTGCTGTAACTAAATCCATGCTACTTACCTCCTGTCCAGTAGTGACAGGGGATCCCCTAACCTGACTGGCACAGCTGGGGAGCACATTTCCAGGATCTAGCAGGTAGCTCAGCAAGGGATCACAGCATCATAGAATGGTTTTGGGTAGAAGTGACCTTAAAGTTTATCCAGTTCCTACCCTCTGTCTGGGCAGGAACACCTTCCACTAGACCAGGTTGCTCCAAGCCTTGTCCTGGCTCTGCCCAAGAGCAGCAGCTGCCTGCCCAGGGCTCCCATGTCCTCCCTGGAGCTCTGGGAGCAGCCACAGGTGTGTCCTGAGGTGCTGGCACAGCAAACTCACCAGATCAGGAGCCCTGGAGCCACTGCTCACACAGGGACCCACTATCCAGAGCACTCACAGGCCTGGGGCTGGCAGAGGCCAGCGGCACAGCTGGAATGCACACAGACAGTGGACTTTGTTCCTCTGCCACCCAAACCAGGAACACAAACCCCAAATGCACAGCCAACAAGTGAGCCCAGGGGCCAACCCCTTTGCTCCCCCAACCCTCTTCTCCATGAGATCTGGGCTCGCCATGGAAAATTGTTAATTAAATGCCCCTTTCCTTACAAAATCCTGCAAGGAGACACTGCTGGGCTGATACAGACCACAGGATCAATACCCAGTGACAACAAATCACTATGGGGAAGAAGAAGTTCAGTGTTCAGTTGACACTGCTCGAAGTTTTCACATCCCCTGTTCCAAAACAAACGCCTCCTTGAGACCACTCCTCCTTGGCCCGACCTCAGAGCTCATGTGGACACAGCACAACGACCTCCTTGGGTGCCTCCTCTCTGCAGCTGGAAAATCCCTCTGCACCCTACACATAAACCCAGCTCTCAGCACCAAACTGCTCATCCTCACGCAGATACGAGTTCCCGGTGTGCATCCCTCCGCTGGATCCCTGGGAGCAGTTACCATTTGGTCTGGCTGCTCAGCCTCCTGCCCCTCTCTCTGTCCATCACCGTCCGTCTCCTCGGTCACAGCCCCTTCCTTGCTCCTGTCCTTGCTCCCTCCTGCCGTGTCCTGCTCGCTGAGCCGGGTGTCTGCTCGCTCCTCCCCGGCCACCAGCTCATCCTCCGACTCCTCAGCCGGGATCTGCAAACAGAGGGACAAGCTGCAGGGACAGCCCAGGGATTGAATTCCCCACGGATCTGATCCAACACCCCACCTGCAAATAGATGGAGTTTTGGACACCCCTCGTGACAAGCATGGACCCAGTGGCTGCCCAGACAGTCCCGCACCCATGGAGGGGAGCACAGGATCTCCTCACACCACGGACTCTCCTCTTCCCTTGGAAGAGCCTCCAAACCCAGCCTTGCCTGTGCTGACACAGCCAGGCCTCGGGGAAGGACAGGGAATGGCTGGGGCTGGATCAGGTGTGTGGAGGGCAGGACAAGGCTCTGGACAAGGCACCCTAAGGACCCAGCAGTACCACCAGGGCCCATCTGACATCCAGCACTGGGATCCTGCAGTGCTGGGAAGGTGGCAGGGATGTTCCTAAAAACAGTTTCACCAGTCCAGCTCTGACAACATCCAAACCCAGCCCCCTGCCAGGCCTCTCTCCCATTTCCTCCCAGTTCAGCCCCAGTTACTGCCCCCCACCACCCAAACCGATCACTCCCACCCCAATCGCTGACCCCAAATCACTGTCTTACACACTGTCACCTCTGCCACCCCCGCTGTGAGCCCTTCCCAGTCACTGCCCCCTGTTCCCTCCAGG